GCCACTCAGCTGGATCTCAGGAACGCACTAACACCTCCTGCCTGGATACGCACTTATGAATGGCATGTTCGCGTTTTCAGGAGAAAAAGAAATGAAATGTTATTCAGTTTTGTCAAGTAAACGCGTCAGTTTTCATTCTCCTGACCGGAACATGAAATGCAAACACACACTTTTGTCTGACCAAGTGATAATTATACAGCTAACCAAGAATTTCCTTGTCATTATATAACAAAACATTATACAACATGAAATTATTTTTCTCCTCAAAATCAATGCAATTAGATTTACATATTCAAATCTCTTTCTATTGAATCGCCCCCCCCTCTCTCTTCTTCTTTTATCGCGGTACACGTACCGCCAATCGTACTGTCCTCTACTAGCAGATCAGAAGATAGAATTTGGGAGGGAGCAGCCCTCGTCTCTGGCTCTGTGTTTGCGTTCACAACCTCCCCAGGGTGTTCATTGGGTACCCAAGTATTTACGGAGGAGATAATATATATGCAGGCTTTCAAAACAACCAATAGCAATATTTAATAGCCAACATAACAAGGAAACTGACACACAATATACAGAAATAAATAAAATAAGGCATAAACCCCTTTAGGGCGAGGCACCACAACCAACAATAGCGATTGCCCAAATAGCCACATATTATGGACAGTCGTAGCAAGCAGAAACCCAAAACTGCCCCACTTTCCCCAGCCTCGTTAGGCCATCGAACAGGTTACAAAAAATTTCAGCAAAAATAATAATAATAATAATAATAATAATAATAATAATAATACAAAAAACACGGTGGCAACTGCACTGGAATCATGGATATTCCGTTGCGACCACGGGCAGTGTTACCCTTACCAGCCAGACAGAAGACTCTCCAAACATAATTTAGAAATACAACCTTCGAAACAGAATTTCAGTTCCAAGTCCTCCGGCTGCCGGTAAGCAACCACTCGTGAGTGCGTCTACCTTCAGACTACTTAAACCTACTCCCTTCCAAGCTCTTCCGAGCTTCCGAGGCAATCATGGAGATCATGGAAAGGGAAGGAAGGTCACGTGGTCAAGATAGTTTGAAATAACGATAAAGACAACAGCATAATGCCGGTGGGGATGGGGGTTAAGGAACGGCAGGATGCCAAGATGCAACACGCATGAGCCAGCTGAGTACAGCATGGCTCACTATAATAGACACTTTAGCATTTATCTCCAATCGAATCCTTACTCACCCAAGTAACCTGTTCCCTTGAGTTTATACAAAGTGTTGCACGTCATGTCCCTCTTATCGAGTGATTTACCCTATGGGAGACGTAAAGAGGAACCTCTTGCACGTCATATCCTTCTTGTCGAGTGACTTACCCTATGGGAGACGTAAAGAGGAACCTCTTGCACGTCATGCCCTCTTATCGAGTGATTTACCCTATGGGAGACGTAAAGAGGAACCTCTTGCATGTCATATCCCTCTTGTCGAGTGACTTACCCTATGGGAGACGTAAAGAGGAACCTCTTGCACGTCATATCCCTCTTATCGCGTGATTTACCCTATGGGAGACGTAAAGAGGAACCTCTTGCATGTCATATCCCTCTTGTCGAGTGACTTACCCTATGGGAGACGTAAAGAGGAACCTCTTGCACGTCATATCCCTCTTATCGCGTGATTTATCCTATGGGAGACGTAAAGAGGAACCTCTTGCATGTCATATCCCTCTTGTCGAGTGACTTACCCTATGGGAGACGTAAAGAGGAACCTCTTGCACGTCATATCCCTCTTATCGCGTGATTTATCCTATGGGAGACGTAAAGAGGAACCTCTTGCATGTCATATCCCTCTTGTCGAGTGACTTACCCTATGGGAGACGTAAAGAGGAACCTCTTGCACGTCATATCCCTCTTATCGCGTGATTTATCCTATGGGAGACGTAAAGAGGAACCTCTTGCATGTCATATCCCTCTTGTCGAGTGACTTACCCTATGGGAGACGTAAAGAGGAACCTCTTGCACGTCATATCCCTCTTATCGCGTGATTTATCCTATGGGAGACGTAAAGAGGAACCTCTTGCATGTCATATCCCTCTTGTCGAGTGACTTACCCTATGGGAGACGTAAAGAGGAAACTCTTCTTCGCCTCATTCTCATAATTTCGTTGTTAGTTCATCTGTTACTGCTCAAACAGTATTTTCAGTGCGATATTCTGAAATAGAGTTAGGCGCTCGTTAGAGAATGAGGGACAGTAGTACAGGTCCCAGGGATTAGTGTCAATACTGGAAATTGCACTCACAGATCGGATACTGTTACATTGACCTGCCTCGTCTGTTAACTTTCATGGCATTTAAAGTGACTCTTATCACATAAAGGCCTGAAGCCGTGTGATGCGGGTTAGTTTATCCATTGATCCTTTTATTTACGTTCTGAAATCCAACCCATACAGAGGGAGAATCTGTCTGACTCGAAATGTATGCAGAGACAGCCGCGTCCCTCAAATCTTATGCTGCCACTTTGATATACATGGACACAGAAACTGTCCTGTTCTAAAGGAGAAACTCGTATTCGTCACTCACTACATGACTCGAGTTGTACATCAAAATGGAAGCATTTTCGCGCCACAGGAATACACCTATTGTTGCCCTGGGCCCAGCGACCTGTTCCAGAATTTACAGCATCCAGTGTATTCTTCCTGGTTTTTCCAGCTACAGAATGAAAGTTGCAGTACCAGGCACCTCCGTGAGCCTGCAGGAAGGCGCCACGATAGTGCATTATGCAACATGGCGATATCATGTCCCCCTTGACGAAGGAAAGTCATTTAAAACCCAGTCTTTTAGCCCGTAGCTCTTTACAAAACAAACGGATATGAACTTAATGGCAAGTAAAGCTAAAATCTGAGGGAGAGATTATAATTATTTCTTAATATCTTTGCTGACAAGAAAGGAAGTTCATTTGATCTCATGTTGTTTCCCTTACAGCACTGGAGTTGACGTATGTCTGTGGTTAGTTCTTTTAAAAAATATATAAGACTTATTGTGCTCTCTTAGGTTATTAACAGACAGTACCATGAGAATGGAAGCAGCATGTTTCTTGCACCTACAAGACTGGGCTATGTCATAACCTAGAAACTCAGAATACGAGAAGTGAAACTTTGCTCTAACTCGAATTAGGTCGAAAATCTGAACGAATGAATATACACTGTAGTTCGTGGTACAGCATCTTGGGTATTTCTCGTTCGTTCTCTTATCGACCATTTATCCCTTTAAGTTGACTTCGAGGTTGCGGTATGCAGGACAGAAGTACACTTCACGATTTCCCTTTCTTACAACATGACTTCTTTACTGAAGTGCTGTCAAACGTTCACTTTCTCGGGGAAGTCTACAGTAAGTAGCGACGTTTACCCAGATTGAAATAAGTTAGACTCTCCTCCCTTCCCACCGTCCACACAATATCTCTGTGCCTAAGTCACATACATTCAAAGCATAGGCCTGTGTGTCCCTTGGGGATTACGTCCCTGGGCACTAGACTAAGGTGAGGAGCCTTCTGACTCCCATCAACCTTGATGCGCCAGAGAAAATATGCTCAATATCCATTAAAGAAGGGCTAAAGTGGACTGCAGACAAAGGTTAAAACAGAAGTTCCAGAAGCTTCTGCTGGTATCGAAACCCGTACTTCGAGTCTACTTGATTCTTGCCTAGGTTATGAATGATTCTGCGTCAAATAATTTATTATACCTTCGAATGGGGTACAAAGATAATGGTGAATGATGGGTCTGTAATATTTGGAGGGAGGAAGTCGAGGTCTAGTGGTCAGAGTTCCTTGCTACAGATCCAGAGGTCTCGGGATCGATTCCTACTGCTATCAGATTTTCTGAGAAGTAGTGGGTCTGGAACGGGGTTCACTCACCCTCTTGAGGATAACTGAGGAGTTATTTCAAGGAAATAGCGGCTCCGGTCTAGAAAACCGAAATTTAGGGCCATGGGGATTCGTTGCACTGACCACGCGACACCTTCTATCCGCTAAAGTTGGCATTAACTTCGCTGACAAGCGGCTGTCGCTCGGTTGTTATAGTTCCCTTGCGGACTAAATCCACGGAGTTTGCTTTTAAATATCTCCGCTATAACATGCTAGTAACGTATTTAATCAACTGTATTATCTACCAGAGTCTGTAGTAGGGATAGAATATTCAAAGTTGCCATGAACGCTTCATTCTAGTTATGACCTGCATATTATTCAAGACTCAGACATTATGCAACTTCTACCATTGAAACAGGGACGTTAAATAACACAAGAATGAATCAAACACGTTACAAAAGATCTTCCGATTTCATTACAAATTTCAATTGATGTAAAATTATTAGCGCGATAATTGGATTCTGCAGGACAAGGCGAGCAAACATGCTGTCAGAAGCAATTTCCGTACTCAAATGTAGTCCATTGTTTATTTTCTCCTTCCGTTAATTGCTGTTCAGGTTGTGTGACCCGTTTTTTGTTTTTGCTTCCTGAGCTTGCAGACTGAGCGGCAATTTGTTTTGGTAACCTTCTATCTCAGAGTTTCGCATCTCGTGATCTAGGATGACACCCGGGCTCGCGAGCTTTATATCATTGATCTCAGAGAACAAGATACTGTCCTTAAATAACCCGGGTTTCTATACAATTTGACGGGTATACTCTACCCTATCAGTAAGGCACTGATTGCCTCCAAATAGATCTCTTCAATTAAGTTGGATGGCGACTGTCGCACCATCTAGCGATTCATAAGGTAATGAGGTTTATGTACTTTTGGCTGATCAGCAACACAGAAGGCACACACTATCGAGTCATAAAGCCCATTGTAGACAAAGTTAATAAGTAATAAAACCATTATAATGCACAAAGACAAAATATTTTCCACATACTTCTTTGAATTTACGTAATTTTAGTCACGCCAGAAATGGTTACACGCAAAGGTTTTGGATCTTAATGATATACGAAACTTTTATAGCGTGCACGGATTTTTTATTTGTTATTCATGTAGAATGAAGTACCAACAGCACTTGATGTTCCCAAACGGTCATCCATCCAAGTACTAACCACGCCCAATGCTGCTTAACTTCGGTGATCGTACGAGAACCGGTGTTTTCAACATGGTATGGCCGTTTCTGTAGACGTAGGTGGGTAGACAATATTAAAATAGATCTTAGAGAGATAGGATGGTATGGATTGGATTGATCTGGCTCAGGATAGGGTCCAGTGGAGGGCTTTTGTGAACACGGTAATAAACCTTCGGCTTCCATAAAATTCTGGGAAATTCTTGACTAGATGAAGATTTGGCTTCTCCTCAAGAAGGGCTCAGCTCCATAAGTAAGTAAGTAAGTAGGGATATAGAATGGATTGAGGCCTACATTGGACAGATACTGTGGTGTTAAATTCGTTATTACCGATACCAGTTTTTTCGAAATCCATTCAGTTATACTGCATTTCAATAATGTAGTATTATGCGTTTGTACGGATGGTCGGACAGACCTCATCTTCCTGTAAAAATTAATTATCTGTCCTTTTACAAAATTTACAAAATTTGTGATTTTGTGTGAACCCACCCTATTTTTTCCCCCCTTGGCACTACAGCCCCAGTGGGCCTAGGCCTACCTCCATGAACTTCTCCGTTCACTTCGGTTTTTCTAGATCTTACACATTCGATAGGACTCCTTGGGCGGGTGATCAGCTCGTCGCAAGGCCTCTACCTGTACACAAATACAGAAAAACGCACACAAACATCCATGCCCTGAGTGGGATTCGAACCCACGATTCCGGCTTCCGAGAGAGCCAAGACAGTGCATGCCTTAGACCGCTCGGCTACCTTGACCGGCGCCCACCCTATTATTACTCTCTATTATGCTCCATCACAGATTTCTGGTGCACAGATATATCAGTCTTTTTAAAGCTAGGATTTACGTACAATCAGTATTATTTGAAACAGCACTCAGGAAAGCCTCTTCAAACACTTCAGGTTTGGACACGTGTATGTGGTAATATGAACAAATAAACAAAACAGACTTCAGTAACAGCAGAAAACTTTTGCATACTTCATACTGCATGTACGAAACTTGTGTGAATACAGACAAACAAATAGTTTAAACATCCCGGAAAATATACGGCTGTATATGACAAATTGTTGGCAGGGAGTGACATTAATTAATTCTGGTGTAGCAAGAAGACAAACAGTTCTATTCCAGAAAATACCGTTAACGAGTAAGTGTCTGTTTCCGTAATTTATCACACAGAGTAATGCTCGCTACTCTCGCGACAGGCCACCGCTGCGTCCTATCCTAAGCCAACTGTACGTGATCTGCATGCTGATACTGCCACCCCATTTCTCTAAGATCTGTTTTAATATTATCCATCCTTTCACTTCATTCCCTCAGGTGGTTCCTGTGCATTTTATATTCCATATTTCACCCATGTATACCACCTGCTTCATTCGTTTCAACTTTCTAAATTTGGCAATCCTAACGGTATATATTGAAGAGTGCAGTTTAAGGTAAAGTTTTACCTGTATACAACGAATTAAGCACTACGCCATGAAGGAGTACGGGGGAGTGGATGTATAGATCCATATTTCTTTACCTCGGTACTAGCTGGAGGTGAATGGTCAGCTTCACGTGGCCGCTTTACCCCCGCAGAAAGAGCCCCCGGTACCTATTGGATTGGGTGGACCCTAGAGCCGGTCTGGACGATTTGACGAAGTGAAAATTCTTGACCCTACCGGGACTCGAACTCCAACCCCTCAGTCGTACAGCCCGTAGCCAGTCGCTGTACCAACTACGCTACCCCGGCTCCTGAGTGCAGGTTATGGAGCTCCTAATTATTCAGTTTTTCTGAACCCACCAGTGACTTCCTCTCTCTTAGGTTCAAATGCTCTCCTCTGCCCTTTGTCCTCAAACAGCGTCAGCATTCTCTTTTCGCGCATGGTAGTTAATATTGGATATGTAATTACCACAGCACATCAAGAGCAGTATCGCTACCCTGATAAAATCCCTGCACGTTAAGTTGACGCCAGAATATACGCCCTTTGATGTTCTGTGCGGCACGTGTGCCATATATATATATATATATATATACACACACCCACAGAAAATGAGAAAAGCAATTGCGTGCGGTCAAGTTGTAGGAAAGTACACGGAGACATCGACTGGGCTCAAGTAGCTGTCGCTTCCAAACTTAGGGGCATATAAATGTTCGTATTCTAAAAATTCGATCCGTTTTTCTAAACTACATAATTTTTAATAATACGTTAGGCATGACACGTACGGCAAACGCCCCCGTACAAAATACATTTACAGAATTTTAGGACAATGTCCATTTTGTAAATAAATCTGTGATGTTCAAAAGAGTTTTGGCCTGCTTCTTTGTTCGGCCAAGACCTTTCTTCCAGAAATGCTTGCTGTAAGCGATCCAAAATCTGAAGTAAAAACGTTTAGTTGAATCTCGGTGTTGGAGGAAGACATTAATAATGGATAAGTCCTTTGATAAAAGAAATATCACCTTGACAATAAAAGGTAAAACTATCCCTGTAACAGGCCGTGAAGACCCATAGGGTTGTGAGACGTCGAGGCTCCCACACTATCTAGACAATCGGCTCACAGATGGAAGTAAGGTCGTCAGTTCTAGGGACCAGCCGCCCTTTAACCCCCAGGAAAATTCCTGGGACTCATTTCTGTTAGAGGCTGAGTCAACCACAGGACCATAGTGCGGCTGGAAGTATTAGGTAAATTGAAAAAAGAAAAACAATGACTCCAGCGAGAATCGAACCTGCGACCTTCCTGCTAGTAGCAAAGCGCCTCAACCACCTACGCTACCGCGTGTCCCTAGTCTTCCTGATTCGGGTATTTAATTTTGATATTGGAGCTTTTTCGGATTTCAGAGACTTGATTTCTTCGTGGCAGACTCCTTCCATTGTTGACAGATATGCTGACAACTTTTTGGTATGTTCGTTGAGAAGAGCAATTTTCATACTAAAGTGAACTATGCATTAATTGTCTTGAGCTTAAGCAACTGTAAAAGGAAATACTTAGAAGTCCGTTCCATAACAGTAAGTGTCAAGCAAAAATGATAAAAACTGTAGCTAATGAAATGAGCTAGTGTGAGAACCAAATTCCCAATATCATTGCACGGTGCCTGCTGATTTATTGTCTTACCGTTCTATGCAGTTCACTTAGCGATTTCGCTATAGTCTTTAGGTTCTCTGATTTAAGAAACTGAAAACAAATTATTTCAAGAAAACCGTCCTTCTCGAGATCATGTGCAGCATAGGCTCCATGCTCTGTAAATTATCACTTCCTGGTCTATTTGTAAGAGAGAATACATTTTTCAAGCGAGTCGTGTAATGGCTTTAACTCAGTACTACAGTTATTATTGAAATAAAACATCGTCTTTCACATTTCGTATTTTCACTTGTAAAGGAGATCTACGATAAAAATATGGGTTGAAATCTTCACTTTATATATATTTCTAATTAATAACATAGGCCTGTATGTCTGTTTTCCATATCTCTGGTCTAACAACGCGGTGTTATAAAGAAATTTTGCCTGCTATGAAAGAAGTTATTGTTTGTTTTGCTTAATTTGCCATTCAAACTGAATGTAGCCATGTAAAGTCGCTTCTTGTTCCGGTCTGATTGGTGACGGGACGCTGCAATTACAGCTGGGATAGGTTTGCAGGCAGTAATGCGCCCTCCTGTATATACAAGCGCTTTATTTGCCCTGCTGTTAAGTTTTAATGTTACTAGGTATTCATGATCTCGTGACTTCGTATTAAAGTAGCGGAAGTGGCCGGCAGTTTGTTCTTGTGCTTCGGTATCTCACATGAGCCTACACAGGCTGTGTCCAACGAATGAGACGTAACGCACGAGAGGACACGTAGGGCCTACTTTACATTGCCTGGAGTTACGTTTCCATCACTACCTCATTAAGCTTTTGTAACTGTCTTGCGTAAGAAGGGCTACAAAACTGAACTCGGTATGGACGGATGGATGCATGGATGGATGGATGGATGGATGGATGGTTGGATGGATGGATGGATGGATGGTTGAATGGTTGGATGGATGGATGGATGGATGGTTGGATGGATGGACGGATGGATGGATGGATGGATGGATGGAGGGAGGGAGGGATGGTTGGATGGATGGATGGATGGATGGACGGATGGATGGATGGTTGGATGGATGGAGGGAGGGATGGTTGGATGGATGGTTGGATGGTTGGATGGATGGATGGTTGGATGGTTGGATGGTTGGATGGATGGACGGATGGATGGATGGTTGGATGGATGGACGGATGGATGGAGGGAGGGAGGGATGGATGGATGGATGGATGGATGGACGGATGGATGGATGGATGGACGGATGGATGGATGGATGGAGGGAGGGATGGTTGGATGGATGGATGGATGGATGGATGAATGGGGATGGATGGATGGATGGATGGACGGATGGATGGATGAATGGTTGGTTGGGTAATCAGGTAGGAAGGCAGGCACAGAAATAGAAAAATAGAAAGGTGGGTGGAAAATTAATTCTTTTTTTTTTTAATTCGCTTAGTTGGGGGGTGGAGGTGGAGTCCTACTGGGTCCATTCGGCACGGCGGCTACTAATTGGCCTATTGTAGCCTGCCCCGAGTGATTATGATGATGGAGAATTGGTAGAATGAAGATTGGCAGGGGAAACCGAAGTACTCGGAGAAAACCCGCCCCAGCTCCACTTTGTCGACCACATATCCCACTTGACCAGACCCGGGATGGAACCCAGGCCGCCTCGGTGGGAAGCCAGAGACTAACCGCTTGAGCTATGGCGCGGAGAGGGTGGGTGGAAAAACTGGAAACTATAAAACTATATAGACAAGAGACACTGGCGAATGTAGAGATAAAGAAAATTATTTGTTACAGATTGCATCATAACCTGATGATTTTAACGACAGGGGCATCATTAAAACAAATAAGATATGAACAACGATACAACAATACATGTACCTTAGTTGCTTGCCATAGTAGCAAGCTAATTGCTGCCTGCTTCATGTTTGTTTCTTGCTTGGCCTACACTTCTACCTTCAAGATAGAGATGTTATTTTCCTCCGAAACGCCGGCTTACTTTCCCTGAAATACGCTGCG